CCCCCCCCTTTTTTCCTTTCATCCGTTCGTCTAACGGGGCTTCTTCAACATTGTTCCGCATTCTTCATTTTCCGGCGGCATCTTGAACGCTTCTTACGGCGGCCGAGGCTTGAACGGTTAACGTTGTTTTTGGATTTTTGCCTTCCTTTCTTTCAGTAGTTATGGAATCTGATAATCTCATCATTATTTCACTTTTTTAGAAACAAGAGAGTAGAATATGGCCTTTCCGGCCATTGGATTTTACGGTAACCCCTTCTTTCCAGCCACGGCTCTCCGGTGAACGGTACGCACTTTTTTTTCCCTCTCTAGAAATATTATTGACATACTGATATTTTGAAGAACTTTAAGGTATTATTTTGTAACAATATAAATACTAGTTATGATTAAAGGATTTAGGGTTAGAAGCAAAGTTATTATTTTTATAAAGAAAATTTGCTAATTATAATAGGATTAGGATTTGAGAAATAAAGTTTGTATTTATGTTAGTATTAGGAAATAAGATATAGGATTAATATATATACATTTTATTTGTTAGTGTAAAGATTGTCCAAATTATTATTTCTTTTTAAGGAAGAGAAAAAAAATTAAAAAAAATAAAGGAGGAACGAGGAATGAAAAAAGAGTAAGGATGGAGAGAATAGGAAGGTGGTTTCATGTTTTTTTTTTTTTTTTGTTAATCAATAGTAAATTCACCATTCTAAATTATCTATTTTATAAAAAAGGTAGGATATAAATTTTCTAGTTATGTTAGTATAGAAAAATAAGATATAGGAGGAGGAAAAGGAAAGAAAAAAAAATGAACAAGGGAAAAAATAAGATATAGGTTTAACCAGTTTTATTATTATTTTTATTTATTTACTTTTTTTTTGGTTAATATATGGTAAAAATATTGTATAAATTATTTCTTTTTTATTGAAAATATTTTTTTTATAGTAAGGTAAAAGAATGTACATTTATGTTAGCACTAGGAATTGGGATAAACGTTTAATGTGGAATTTTACTTTTGTTAGTCAATAAAAAATGGGGAGGAATAATGAAGGGGAAAAAAGGGAAATGAAGAGTAAAAAGGAAGGAGAAAGGGGCAAATGAAGAGGAGGAAGGAAGAAAGAGGAGGAAGGATAAAAGAGTAAGGAGGGAGAGAAATGACCAAAAGTAAATGGTCAAAAAACATTATTTTATACAAAAATATTTTAGTTATATAAATATTAGTATTTGAGGTATAAGTTTATGTTAATATTAGTAAAGAAGATATGGGTTTAACAATATTAGTATTTGAGGTACAAGGTTCTCTAGATTATTTATTTTTTTAAAGAAAGCAATATTGTATTTATAATAAGTTTTGTTGTACCTTTAGTAAGCATTAGGAACTTAGATAATTCTTATTTTTGTTGGTTATTAGTTAAAAAAAATTATTTAAATAATTTATTTAATAAGAAATATTTGATTTCTACTTAGATATAAGAAAGTAAGATTAAGTTTTTTTTAGTTAGGTAAGAATAGAAAATAAAATATACATATTCTTATGTATCAAAGGAGATATAGGAGGAGGAATAAGGGGAAAAAAGGATGATGCTTATTATTGTTGAAATTTCTTGCGCAAACCAACATTAGTGGCCCATCATCTGGATAAGGGTATTTATATTCGTATTAGAAAATAACATAGATATGTTTCCCCAATCTGTATTAGGCCTTAAATGTAGAGGTTTTTATTATTAAGCTTGATGTCAATATTTTCAAATCAGAGAATAGAAGCTTCCATATCATATTCACTCTGTAAGAGGTTTTTATTATTATAGCGTTGACTATCATATACGAAAGGAGCTGTAGTATATGATTTCAATTTAAAAGAAAAAGAAAAGCAAAATCAATATGATATGTTTCTCTAGAAATGGAATATTGTTATGAGTTGACTGAAATGTCAGCTAAATCAATGGTTTGGATTCTTTTATTTTTTCAATCTTTGAGTTATCTTTTAGGACTAACAATTAATAGATCAATGACTAAAATCTAGGATTAACACGCAGCACTTCAACCTAACAACTAAACGTTGACTTCTTAGACAATTAACAATATAGGCTTTTCGTCATTTTATTTTCTCTACAATTTTCAATCTCACTTTTCTTTTTTCCTTTTAATCTTTTAATTCTTTTTTAATTTTCCATAGATAATTGTCAACCTGTTTGACCGGCACTAATGCAGCAGAAGCCCACCGTTTACCTTTTGGACTTTTCCGAGTTGACTCTGAAATCAATATAATAATAATAGAAAATGTATGTTTTAATTGACCGTAAAAACCTACCGGGACAATCAAATTCTGTCCATAAATACCGAATCAACCACTAACTAATTCTCACATCAAGCTTTAGATATTTCTAACATTTTCAATATGGAAATTCAATTTTCTTCTTCATTTGCCTGCTCTCTTCTCATAATTCTCGTCTTCCTGGGCTGTTATTCTGAAGCAACTGCTGGCCGTGGCGGCATTGGCGGCGGAATTGCGACCTATTGGGGCCAGAACATAAGAGAGGGGCGGCTGACCGCCGCCTGTGCCACGGGGAAGTTTAAAATCGTCAACATCGGGTTCCTCTCCACGTTTGGCAACGGTCAGCTGCCGCAAGTAAACCTAACGCGCCACTGCAGTCCCATCTGCAACGGCTGCTGGAATGTGAGTGCTGGTATCGTCAACTGCCAAAACGACGGCGTTAAAGTCATGCTATCCGTCGGCGGCCCTCATGGAAACTACTCCCTCTCCTCTGGCGCCGAGGCTCTAGACCTGGCCGACTACATATGGAATAACTTCCTCCACGGCCACTCCACTTCACTACGGCCATTCGGTTATGCACCCTTGGACGGCGTGGATTTCAGGTGTGTTATATTATTGGTTAATAAATATGATTAAAATTCTAAAATGTTACACCAAAAAAAAAAAAAAAAAAAAAAAAAAAAAAAAAAAAAAAAAAAAAAAAAAAAAAAAAA